TATTTTGAAATGTTTCCATGTTCCGATTTTGTGATGTTTCAATAGGAATTATTTGCCATTTGTCCTCGTTACATCTTAACTCATCTCTTTTTCCTATTAAACCGCTCCTTTTGCGTATCTGCTTTGCTCCTTTATCCTTTTCTTATATTGTCTTAGCTTAACTGCACTCACCTGGATAGTGTTTGACTCTCTTGATTCAATTTTTCAATATCTTCAAAATAATTATTTCAGTATACAATTCATATCTCTTCAGGAATTTGAGATCAAAACCAATTTTGAGCCCATTTTTCTTTTATGGATATTAGGGATCTTTTATTGGTGACGTCAGTGAGGTCGTTGACTTTCTACGGCGCTTGATTGGCCAGTGCATCGATAATTCAGTCAACCAGCCTGGCTTTCTCCCGAGTACAGGACCAGCCTCTGTTACATCTCCACCGCCTCGTCCAGCCGTAGCTTCTCCTCATTTGGCTCCACTCTATCGCAGCCTTAATCGCGCAGTGCTTTATCAACTTTCAAGACCTATCCTCACACGCACTGACCAACTTCAGCTGATTGACATGCTAAATCAGTTGTCTGAGCCTTTGATGACCAGCTCTGGCATGGATTCAGAGGCCTACAGAGGCGTAGTCAGTGGTAACATCAACACTGGTAGTTGTGGTTCGGATCTTGGGTCCGATTCTGACTTTGATTCTATTGACAAGGATCCTGCCGACCGGGAATTCGGCTATCCGTACCGGCCGCACTCCAGCTACCGATTGTCGACTTTGCTCGGCTGTAGTAGGCAAATGTCGCCTTGGCCTGGCACTTCTGGATCCGAACTCGGCGACCCGATGGCCCGCTCGGAGACTGGCTCCGTTCTGCTCTGCCAACAAAACGCGGACCCCATCTTCCCGGCTTGTCTGGTGCACAATCTGATGCAGCTAGTCCGGACAGAACAGACGCACGGCGCAGCGGCGGCAGCCGCTTCCATCGCTGCTGCTGGGACAACGAAGCCGAAGGCCGCCGAGTCAGGAAGGGGCTCATCTCGTAGCTGGGCTCCTATGGACGTAGACCGCGATTCCGACCTGATCACAACCGAGGCCGAGGCCGGTGTCAGTGGCCTGCTGAAAACGGCGATGCGGCAGACAGCCGATTATTATCGGACTACTTTTGGCCTTGAAGACGAACTGGCCCCCTCGCCTCCGGGTGGCCAGGCAACGGAAGAAGGCTCGCTCTGCAATTCCTCATCCTCGACTTCTGCGCTCACCAACACTCTGTCCGTGGCGATGACGGCGGGGGCGGATACGTTGGTCGCAAATATGCCTCGAGACAACGACTCTAGGGTCCAGGCTGCCGAGGAGGGCAATGTGTCGGATCAGGCAACTATCGTTGGCTTCCAGGATATCGCAAAGGCCGCCATCCGCCTGTGGCGTGACTGTTATCTCGCGAAAAAGGAGGTGCGTCATAATTTCGTGATGGTAGTGATGAAGCCATTGGGAATTTTGTTTTATAATGAAGATACACATCTAATCGGCTATTGTCTTCGTATCTTGTCGTAAGGCTCAAAAGGTTCCTCTTCTATCCGACCTCCTCGCGGCTTCGATCTTGTCTAACCTTCAGCCCGATATGACCCAAACCACCTGTCATCATTCAGACGTCAGAACTTCATATCAGTCAAATAGTCTTTTGAAATGCAACCACAATTCGGAATACTAGAACACCAACACGAATGTATAATTACGGAAAACTAAATAATCTTAAAAATGGTGATATCCATATGCATAAGTCTTCTTAAGAGACATACTTATTTATATCAAGTATCTGGTTACGTAGATATGTGTTTATTGCATCATAATAATCATCCTTTTCTTTATTTGTTTTTGGGCACTGATTTACAAATAAAAGTTGCTGAATGCATCAAAATCTGTTCAACTATAAAAAACGCCAAATTCACACTGCTATTCTCCCATTCTCTTTGTAGCTTAGCTAAGAGCAAATACATCAAATAGTGCCAAAGCCTTCTTAACAACGACATATCTCACGCGCTTGAGTAAAAGTTGGTGATTGAGGAAATGGTAGAACGGGATCAGGTAGAAAATTACTTGTTTACCTTACTATACAAACTACCTGTGTGAATTTAGGGGGGGCTGCGGATAAGACCTAGACGAGGTCGAAACTACAGTCCACCTTGGATGAGAACAACTTTTAGTAAAGCAAAGCTATGTGAAATTCAATGGAAGCGTCAGCTCTACTCACATCATGTTGGCAAAATTCAGCTACCAGTTCTTTATCACATTAAACGAAGTAAAGCGAAGACATCTCATATAATAGAAAACTTATTCTTTGAAATATTCTTTTGGCTGTGGTCAAGTTGAGAAGTCCACTTGACGTAACTTTGAGGACATTTCACCCATCCAATATGTGAGGATTAGGCTTTACATTTTTCCGTTTTTCATCATATCGAAAAAATCATTTTATCATCAAGGGATTCCAATATAGCCTGATTGTCGGAGCTAGAAATATGCTGAACCCCATTCTATAGTATTGTGATCTTATTAGGGAAGAATTTGGGCGCTCTTATTTATGCCATAAAATTCTTACGGCCTCTATTTTTATATCTCACAAATATTCTATAGTATCTTATAGGTCCTGTCGATATCAGTCAAATTGACTTGCTAATTTTATTAATCATTAGCAGTAATTAAAAGTAGACTCCGGAGGCAGAATATTGTCCATTGTTTCATTGCGAGCTATCGCATGATGTAGTACAGCTTCTTATTCTTTGTCGTTAGGTTATAAGTTTCACTTCTTCGTCCATGCGGGGATAATAGAAAGTGCTCAGGCAGGAAACCGATAACTAGGACTGAGGGCAGTTAGGGATTGCCTTTCATTCTAATAAAAAGTTGAATATAATTATATGCTTGCATATAGGCCTCATCCCATGTCTAACTTGTCAACACATTGTCTCGTTAACATTCTCATCTTTATTTCCTTCTATGTTCGAGTATAAAGGCAGGAATGCGAAACGAAAATGGGAGTAGTAATTTCACAACTCTGTCACTATTGCATATTTTAAGCTTGAGTTAAACTCGTCTGCGTGACCCGACATCTGTTCTTGCTAATTAGTTTGCCCGCATTGTCCATACATGCGTGTCTGCATGACACTCAGACGTTGCCGGCGCTACTGAATGCAATATAATAACTATCGCATTAATGGTTTTAACGCAAATATGGGATCACACC